AGGTGAATTACATTCTTGTATAGATAAGGAATTTCAGCAGAGAACTGAAAATTCTAAAAAGAGGATGTTAATAAATTCCCCCAACCCCAAAGCAAGGATTAGATTTATAAACAAATTACTAGTTATTGTTGGAGAATATATAAATAGCAGCTCTGAAATAACTTTTTCCTGAAGTTATACATTCTTGTTTTCATATAAGCAATGACTGAGGGCCCACTGGATACAAGATATTATAGGAGGGGTACGAAGAAGCATGAGATTTAATCCTAACCTTCAGTGAAATACAATGTAGTGAAAAGATGTGCGGACATAACTATTTCAAGGCAGACCACTCTAATAGAAGTATAGGTATGTCTGTGGAAACATAAAAGAGAATGAGATTTTTCTGGCAAGGAGGATCATGGAAAACCTCATGGAAGACTTAGTATTTGATCTGGAAATGGAAAATGCCTATGTGAAATGTTAATAGATAGGGCTTATGTCCACTGGTGTCAGATCCCTGGGATGATGCCAGGACTCCAGAGTCTTCAGCAGCACACAGATCACTGCCTGGTGATGTCAGAACTGCCTCCTCGTTATTTCTAAAAGGAAATTAGGGGAGAGAGCTGGTCACCTAATAGGAATCCCAGGGAATACAGGAAGTAGGAGTGGGATAGGAGTGGAGAAAAGTGGATAAAGCATTATGTTTGTCATTATCCTAACATGGTAAAGTCATATTTCTGGATTTTATTGGGGATGAAAACATTCCTTCCTCTGTATTGCTTTATGTATGTTGTCTCTACCTCTGTCATGGATTTATTTCATTTACACATATTTCTCTATCCTTGGGTTGTAGGCTCATTCTGGATAGCCACTTATTTTGATCGCCCATAGCAAGTGACACCATGCCTTACAAATACTAGGATGCCTTATAAATACTTGATGAATGTTTGCTCAATTGAAGTTCAGTTTAACCCTAGGCAGAGTTTACAGGAATTAAACTCAGGTAGTCTGGCTCCAACATCTGTGCTCTTAATCACTATACTGCATTAATGATGGCTTATGAATAATCTTGATAAATGGGGTATAGAATATGTTTTAAAACTATA